ATCCATTTCTTCTAGATTATCCAATTTGTTGGCGTATAGCTTTTCATAGTATTCTCTTATTATCTTTTGTATTTCTGCGGTGTCCATTGTAATCTCTCCTCTTTCGTTTCTGATTTTATTTATTTGAGCCTTCTCTCTTTTTTTCTTGGTGAGTCTAGCTAAAGGTTTGTCAATTTTGTTTATCTTTTTGAAGAACCAGCTCTTGGTTTCATTAATTTTTTCAATTTTTTTTTAGTCTCTATTTTATTTCTGCTCTGATTGTTATTATTTCCTTCCTTCTGCTGATTTTGGTCTTTGTTTGTTGTTCTTTTTCCAGTACCTTTAGGTGCACTTTTAGATTGTCTATTCGGGATTTTTCTTCTTTGTTGAGGTAGGCCTGAATTGCTATAAACTTCTCTCGTAGAACTGCTTTTGCTGTATCCCACAGATTTTGGCATGTCGTGTTTTCATTTTCATTTGTCTCCAGGAATTTTTTTATTTCTTCTTTGATTTCTTCATTGACCCAATCATTGTTCAGTAGCATTTTGTTCAATCTCCACATTTTTGTGGCTTTTCCAGTTTTCTTTCTGTAGTTGATTTCCAGTTTCATACCTTTCTGGTCAGAAAAGATGCATGGTATTATCTCGATCTTCTTAAATTTATTGAGACTTGTTTTGTGGCCTAATATGTGATCAATCATGGAGAATGTTCCATGGGCATTTGAAAAGAATGTGTATTCTGTGGTTTTTGGATGGAATGTTCTGTATATATCTACTAAGTCCATCTGGTCTAATGTGTCCTTTAAGGTGAGTATTTCCTTATTGATCTTCTGTTTGGATGATCTATCCATTGGTGTAAGTGGAGTGTGAAAGTCCCCTACTATTATTGTGTTACTGTCTATTTCTCCTCTTATGTCTGTTAATAATTGCTTTATATATTTCGTTGCTCCTATGTTGGGTGCGTAGATATTTACAAGTGTTATATTTTCTTGTTGGATTGTTCCCTTTATCATTATGTAGTGCCCGTCTTTGACTCTTGTTACAGTTTTTGATTTAACGTCTATTTTGTCTGATATAAGTACTGCTACCACCGCTTTCTTTTCTTTGCCATTTATGTGGAATATCTTTTTCCATCCTTTCACTTTCAGTTTGTGAGTGTCTGTAGGTCTGAAGTGTGTCTCTTATATGCAGCATGTACACGGATCTTGTTTTTTTTATCCAGTGGGCCACCCTGTGACATTTGATTGGAGCATTTAATCTATTAACATTTAAAGTAGCCATTGATAAATATGTATTTATTGCCATTTTGTCACTTTTTCTTTTTTGGGGGTGTTTTAGTAGTTCTTCTCA